CCTATGATTCGTGCTCATTTGTATCAGTGCTCTTAATTACTTACACTGCTTTTAATGGTTTTTAAATTGACTTCTCTTAATTCTATTAGTTTCAGGGAATGGGGTTTGCATACTGACACAAGCAGTGATGCTCCAGTGCCATGGTAGAGCACCTTGCAGAGCACTGTGAAGGCAGGAATTCAACATGCTAATAAAAGCAAGCATCACGCACCACAAAACGCACATTACCCAGGAAGGGAAGCTTCATTCCAACTGAATAAACACTGGGCTCTTTAAAGGCTACTACAGTAACAAAAACACCAAAAAAAAATCCAACCATTTTACTAAAAATAGTTAGTCTTTTGTATAGCAGTGACAGTTGCCTATGAGCTAGAAAATTATGTTAACACAGGGCAGTCATATGATAATTAACAATTTTACCAGAACATCAGAGACTAAAAATGAGAGTGAATTCTTGATTTTAATGAAAGCAATGGCAATACTCTCAAAAATTTAATTGGTAAGCTTTTCATCCACTGCATTTGTGGCTTTGAGTTAGTAATTTCCAACATGATTTCATAAATCATGCAACTGTATTGCTGTCTTGGCAAAAAAGCTATTTATTTATATGAATAGCTGTCCTAAGAGTATATCAGTAATAATTGTTCTAAATACAATTGTTCTACAAGTATCCTATAATAATGTCCTATTTTCTATTAAGTACTTGTAATTTTCCTCCTTTTTATTTTCTAATTCATTTGGGTTTTAAAATTTATTTGAAACCAATACTAGAACTATAGTGAGGAGTTTAGTTGTAACTAGATTTTATTCAACCTGGTGACTGGTCCCTGCCAGTGATCCCAGTATATGGGGGTATCTATCACAGTTCTATAGTCTGGCATGACATAGCCTAGCATTTGGATTTCTGACTCAGGTTTCCCCCCGAGGCTTTCTTCAGTTCATCTGAGGTGTAGCTTGCCCAGATGCTCAGTTTCCACTTGTGTTTCACAGCTGCAATTAAAGAAAATAGCTTTTTAAAGAAAAAAAAGGAAAAGAAAAAAAAAATGCCTACACTGCATGATGCTCATCTCCTGGCATCAAGGATTTTAATCAGTAAACACAACCTAACATCAAAAAATGGAGTAAAAGTAGTGCTGAAGGACAAATACAGCCCAATTACAAGAAATAGATAAAATAAACTAGCTATAATTCAATTATCCTTTTGGAAATTCCCTGACAGCATCAGCTCATTCTATCAGAGAGAAAAAAAAAGAAAAAGAGTGGTGGGCAAAATACTTATAGCTCAAATGCAAGCAGACAAACTGGGCCCCAGTGTAAATGCAGACAAGCTGTCAAGACAAAAAGGTTTTAGAAGCAACTTCCAGCAGTAAAACTGCCAGTAAGGAAAGGCCAAATGTTTGTAACATTTGTTTAGTACAAGCCAAGACTAAACATTACTTGAAGTCCTTCAGCTTTCTGTGACAGAAGAGGTTTTCCGCAGGCCACAGACTCCTTCTTAGGGAAACACCCCAGATATTTCCCAAGACCTGCCTGAACACACACAATGGAGGGCATACAATAATTCTGTCATCATTAATTCAAAGATTGGTCTGAACAGGAATGTTTAACCATCTTCCCCCACACTAAAACAGATAAATAAAAGGGATCTTAAAGAGATCACAAATTTTGAGAACTTCAAAAGCAAACTTGCTTCCCTAATTTACCTCTACCAGGTAAGTGGATGGGGCTCTGCTTTCATATTTTTGCTTCATATTCTGTTAACGAGTCCCAGGAAATCAGAAACCCTCTTCAACAGCCACCTCTTTGCAAAGACCCCACCCCGGTTTCCACCGGCACAGGGGAAAAACATCCACCTATCAACCTGCTACGGCAAAGTCCTGGGTAGAAAAGGACAACTGCGACAATCTGAATATAAATAACTGAAGTTTTTTCCGTGAAGCTGCTTCTGTCACAGGCGTCAACAGAAATGAGCTTCCCTAGGCCCGTTGTGGCTCCTCGCTGTGGTCCCCTGCCCCACATCATTCCCCTGCTGGGAGGCTTCCTGCAGACGCAGGATTTCCTGGCTGCCCGAGGCCATGAGCTGCCACATTCCCCCTTGACCCTGTTTGCTCTGGTACCTCTCCTGGCAATAACACATATGGATCTCATGCTGGGATGCCTATGCAGCCCATACCTTGTCCAGCCCCCATGGGCAGGACCCCTGCGAGTGCAGCTGAGGCACTCGGTGCATCAGTTGCTGCAGGAACAGGAGCTCTTTGCTGCAGCTCTCCAGCCACAGGGTATCATCTAGTGCAGGAACGAGCTGCCTGCCCCTGTGTCGAGTTCCCTCCTGCAGCACAGCAGGGGAAGGAGGGCACACAAACCCTTCAGCCAAGATAGGAGCTTAGTTTGAGCAGGGCTCAAGCTGCCGTTGGGGTTTAACACAATCAGTACCCCCCGACACCGGGCTGCTCTTGTGCTGTGGAGGATGCACCAAAGGCGCTGCTGGAGCAGGATGCTGGTTGCCACCACTTGGTACTCAGTGCAATGTGCTGTGCAGCCTAAGTGACCCCGGCCTTAATTTTTTAATCCCTGCAGTACACAAAATAGGAACACAAATCATTACTTTTTCCATTCAGTACTCAGCCAATTTCTGCTCATTTTTGTTCCCGGAGATCTGCAGTATACATCGTATAAAGTTAAAATAAACACACCATCAGTAATTGGATCCCAGCCAGACAGCACTAAGCAATCATTTTTCATTGATACTCCAGACTTATTTTTAATATGAGTGGGAAGCTCTTCTATATGTTTTAGCTAATATTTAATAGAACTATTTAGCATCTCATTCCTCAGACTCAGTCTGCTTTCTGTGTGAATTGCAGATATATTATAAATATGTAACAAACCTTACCAAGAAAAATAACTTTAATTTACATTGCAACCCAACTGGAGAAACTACAAATAAGCTATCCCAGGAAAACAGCTATTCAATAATTTCCCATTTATCATTCACCTAGTCGCATTAAAAAGTTTGAAATCTGCAATATTTTTGCTTTACTTGAAGTGCTGTATTTTTCCTGACAGGCTGCATTTTTTTGTTCAGGCTGGGGAAACAGTCATATTGTTAGTGAGCTGCTTTACCATAACCTTGTGCTTCAGGACATACGAGCAAACACGAGAAAACCAATTACCTGGGCTAAGAAATGGAAGACAGGGAACCTGTTCTCACCTGCTGTTTGTACTTCTCTCTACAAGACTGATGAAAATGGACCAACAGCTTCATGCTCTGCTTATTTGCACCAATGCAAAACCACACAGCTGTATTCACAAATTTTCTGTGTGTTGCAGGTGGTAAAATATTCAGCACCTGCTTTTTTCCCCCCTGCTTTTACAGCCAGCTTCATGAGTTGGCTAAAAGAGAAAGAAATTGTTTCTTGCCATTATCATAACATTTCAGGAAATCAATATAATCTATTATACAGGAGTAGGAAGGCTACATTATGTACTGTGCTATTTAAATTATCCATCTAATAATAAATTACCCATCTAATAACCTTCCTCACCTGCTATTTCATCTTTCCATTCTGATTTTGTTTCTTGCCCTTACATAAGTTTTTTCTCCAGTTTTTCTTTCTATTTCTTGCATGTATAAACAGGCCTCATTATACAGAAGCTGCCAGCTTTTTCGCTGGATGGTACCATCCTATCTTCACACAATTCCACATGAGAAAAAATGGACCTGTATTTCATCACAACATCCTCATGCCCAAATATTCCCTAGTATCTCAGGCTTCTTCTTAACAGATTTACCTCTTCTGAAAATTAAAAAAAAATAATAATAATAATAATAATCTTTTCCTTAACAGTTCATCCATTTTGGGAAGTCCTTCCTGTGTTGATATTAACTCAAATGAGAGATGGAGGATAAGAAAGACCGAGGAAATAAAAGCTTGAGGAAAAACTGAGAAAAGGACCTGAGCTGGGAGAAATAAGAGGCTGTGGTCTGCATGGAGCAGTTATGTATACTATATAGATGATGCTTATCTCCAGGCAGAATGTAGTACATGGTCTTCCAGGAAAGTATGTTGTGCTAGAGAAGGAAGGTGGAGGTATCCCTTTTCCATGGGTGGCCACTGACGTCAGAAGACCAAAATTAGGATTTTGTGGTGTTTGGCAGTCTCACCTTACAGGTTTCAGATGTCTTAGTGGTCTTCCTCAGGAGACTCTCTTTGTGCCGAACGGAAGGTGGGTCTGTTCCTGTACTAGCTGGTGGCTGCACGTTGTTGAGCAGGGCAGTCACCTCCCTCTCTCCGTGTCCCAGCCCTGTGCTGCACCTTCCCTCTGGAAGGGAAGGGCCCTGGGACTTCGTGGTGCTACGGAGCTGATCCCATTGGGCCGGACTGCTAGTAAAAGTGCTATTGAGAGAGAGAAATACAACCTCCATCTCTAGCTTACACAGAGAATAAAAGTTCAGCAGCAATAGAGAGGCAGATTCTTGGAACACTAATGAATAATTTGTAATGACCTAAAGCTTCTCCATACATAACATCATATTGAGTGTCTGTGGTTGCTTTACAATATTACTGCATTTATTACAATTATTACAATTTATTATTTATTATTATTTATACAATTACAATTATTACAATTACTGCATATTATTTCCTGCAATAATTTCAGTCTTCAACTCCTGGGCATTCTGCATGTTTGGTTTTTGCCCTTCTTTCCCTCCCCACCTCAATAAAGAGATTTTTTTCCTGGTAATGGTATGTGTTGAGGCATTCTGCAGCTGGTGGATACCCTTTGTGTGCAGCTGAATTAGCAGGTTAGGGACTTTGTAGATTGACATCTTGAGAGCTGCTCCAGCCGCTGCCTCCCCCCTGCCTGGCCGCAGTGCTCCAGGATGGGTCTGACCCTTTTTGCATCTGTGTTAATTCAGCTTTGCTTCCAGGTCAATGTGAAGAGCTTCCCCAGCAAACCAGAACACTCAGTCTGCACCTCCTAGCACCTACCTCTCCCAGCTCCCGCGTTAGTAACACGGCTGCTAATGTCACTTGCGGTGGCTCGAGCATCATCGGACGTCAAGGCAAGACCTGTAGCCTGCCAGCAACAACCAGCTACTCTGAGGAGCAGCAACTACATGTGAGAAGAAAATAAAAATCCAAGAGCTAAATGAGACAGAAGTACCACCACTGGTTGTAATAGTAGGGGTAAAATTAAGATAAAAGAGAAGGGGAAAACATCCATGTTCCCTGAATGAAAGCAGAGAGGAGACAGAAGAGGGTAACAAGTCACATCTGGCTGAAGCTAGTGGTGAATCAAACAGTGTGGAGGCCTTTGAAAGCTACTAGCGCACCGTGTTCCAGCACAAAGGCCTGGGAAAAGACTGTCATATTCCAGGATGGAAATGGAGGAAAAACCTTCCCAGGTTTTCCCATTGTCCCATGACATGGAACCAGTCATACCATCACCAAACCAACACATGGGACAGAATGGAATATTAATCATGTTTTGAGGGTGGTGGCAGAAGCACCCAGCTTTGGCAGCATTACTATTTAACTCTACTTCATGATGCTTCTTTTCATCACTTTTCAATAAATTTTATTAGAAGATTAACTAATTTCTAATGACTTTTTCCCCCCTTATTTTGTTTGCTCATTTGTTTGTAAGTGTTATAAATATTATTATTTGGAAGAGGATGGCCAAGAGGAAAAAAAGCTGCAGGTTAGCAACTTATGCCAGTTACTTTCTAATAAATTTAAAAGACTCCCTTTATCCAGAAGAAGGATCCAGACAAGTAGAAAGGCTTCAGGATTTTCCTTTTCTCTGCATATTCAGAGGAATAATGCAGAATGTTTGCAAAAAGGCACCACAGACTGAGCTTGAAGTCTGACAAACAACAATAACCTTTTTCTTGACACTAATTCCTTCATAATATTTTTAGAAGAATTTAAAAGCCACTTATTTTTGAAAACTATGATTTCAGGAAAAAGTATAATTTTCACATTTCCTCTGATGTGTTGTGTGCCCTGCTGTGTTATGACATTTCAAGTTTCATCAAGTCACATTAATTTACATTCTCACATGTTTTCTCAGTGGAACTTGCTCTTTGGGTCAATTTTCATTCATTGCTTGATCACTTTAATGTATTTGTATTGCTGAATATTTGGGCCATATTAACTGATCTTCCCATACCCCATGCTTGCAATTCATTAGCAATCATTTCTCTTCTCTGCACGAAAAAAGGGGAAAAAAGAAACAAGAGCTAAAAATGAAAGGCAGACAAACTATTAGAAAGAAAGTGAACAGCAATTTAGTGCATGCTCTGCGATGCAGTCTGCTGCGTCATTCAAGACTCGTTTATTTTAGGAAATTAGTGTGAGCAAAGTAGATACTGCAGAAAACTGTGTAATAAATGCAGTTACCTGGCTTTAATCTTTTTGTTTCAGTCTTCTCTCAGTGAGGGTATTTAGAGCACACGGGTTTCAGAGCCTTGCACTTCCTTTTGCTGTCCAGGTCCAAGCAGTCACATTCCTGCTTCTCTCTCTCTATCTCAAGGTTAATGCTTGAGCTGGAGCATAGGTCCAAATTCCCAAACCTGAGTCTCCCTAAATTCCCTGGGGGACCCGGGATGTGTTCAGAGCCCTTGGTAAGATTGAGATACAGCCTTGCTCTTCTTTATTTCCTGGCATAAAGAAAGGTCAAATGAGAAAATACTAAGCAAGGAAAACAGGCAATTTCTTTTACCCTTTCCTATAATTATTAATGACTGAATAAACCCTGCTGTTATCTCCCTTTTGCCACCCTCCTCTTGAAAGCTGCAAGGGAACTCAAAATGCGCATTGGGACGTTCCAAAAGCTTCACAGAACCCCATAACTTCCCATTCCCCCCGCAAAGCAGGGCCCATCGCCCTGCTGCGGCTCTGCAGCCCTCACCCAGCACCAGAGGAAGGCAGGGACAGCAGCTCCTAGGCAGTGGGGACAGAAACCTGCACTGATGCTCCCGGGTCCTGCACGAGATTAGGGCCTTCTGCACTGGTGTGGCCAATAATAAGGCTTGAAAGGCTCCAGCTGCGGATGGGAAGGGGGCAAAGTGCAACCAGCTCTCCATCAGTGAGAGCTCCAGTTGGGCTGCCATGAGGGTTAGAGACAGAGGTCTATGGGCAGATGGAAGACTCCTCAGCTCAAGCACAGGCAGAGACTCCAGCCTCCCCACCGCAATGTTTCCCTGCTCCCAAACAAACACGAGGATGATGCTGAAGCTTCCCATGGAGGCAGATTGGAGCAGCCTGAAGTATCAAAGCCTCAGACAAGGCGGAGAAGCAGGAGGAGGCTTAATCTGGCCTTGATATCATCGATGGCAAGTGGTGCAGGGCCACATGCTTTGCAGGGGAGCAATGGGCACGGCACAGGGAAAGCAGCACAGATAGGGCAGCGCGGCTGTTAGCCACTGGTGACGGACGGGAATGTAATCTGCATGTTTGTGCTCTGCATGTTTGTGCTCCGTGATTCAAGAGAAAACAGGCTCCAACAGGACACGGCATCCCGAGGCAGGGTGTGGGAAGGGATGCCCGGGCAGAACAGCCTGCGCAGGAGCTCTGCGCGGCCTCGCTCCCTCCTGCAGCCGGCGCAGAAAGGAGTATCCTGCAAGGAGAAACACGGAGAGAGAAATTAGAAGTCCAGATGCCCACTCTGTAAAAAAAACCATGCTCTTCATAAAGAAATGCATGCAAGGAGGAGATCATCTTTGTTCAGTACCAGGCTGGTTACACGACCTTCAGCCAACGGGATCAGTGGGCCTGAGTCTCCGTGGTCTCCCCCAGTGCCTGTGAAGCTGAGGAGCAGCTTCTCAGAGCTGGCTCCAGTCAGTCCCGGAGTGTTGCTGTCACCAAGATGCCTCAATCTCTCTCAAGAGATCTTGGAGTAGTGTGGGGGAAGCATAAGGGAGGCTGGGGCTGCCGTGATCCATTCATCCCCATTTTTGGGTGCTGTATTTACCTTTAAACTTGCTTCAGAAATCAATGGTCATGGAATATTCAACCCATACTGAGACACAAGTCTAAAGAGGGGCAGGCTTAGATGTGCTACAAGTGTAGAATCATAGAATCATAGAATGCCGAAGGTTGGAAGGGACCTCAGAGGTCATCGAGTCCAACCCCCCTGCTCACGCAGGGTCACCTAGAGCACGTGGCACAGGGCTGCATCCAAGCGGGTTTTAAAGATCTCCAAAGAAGGAGACTCCACAACCTCTCTGGGCAGCCTGTTCCAGTGCTTTGTCACCCTCACAGTGAAGAAATGCTTCCTTAAGTTCCTGTGGAACTTCCGATGCTTCAGTTTGAAGCCATTTCCTCTAGTCCTATCCCTGCCCACCACTGAAAAGAGGCTGCCCCCCTCCTCCTCACTGCCTCCCTTGAGGTATTTATACACGCTGTAGTGTATACACGCTGTAGTGTAGTCAATTAGCCTTTAAGAAATCCTGAAGCTTAACTGGCATAGAGGGAAGGGGTGTCAGAAAGGCCAGAGGCTGCTTTACCTGGTTCTTTGGAAAAGCATCACTCCTGACTCTAGTGCATTAGAAGAAAGCAATAGCTTGGCAGCACAGATATTTCTTAAACATTGTCTGTATCTTAACTAGGTCAGATGACTGGCCTTTTAGCTTCTTCCTGTGTCTTTTCTCACTAGTTATGGGAAATACCAGGAATCTCTGCCATGCCAGGCACAGAAGAGCTGCCATCTGCAGCTCCCCAGAGGTGTGTGAAACGAGAAGCTCAGTCCTTGCCACCACCTCCCCAGGTGAAGCCAGGTCTGTGTGTTCAGACACGCTGCCCTACTGATGGAGCCCCCAGGGGCCAGGAGGGATGTGGGAGGGAATTCCCAGCACAGGCACCTGGCTTTCCTGTTCTCCTGAGTGACACTTGTCAGGAAAGTCCCCCGCAGCCCTTGGGGCCAGGTTAGCTGCAGTTCTGTGCTGTGCACTGTATAGGGACCCACATCAACGGGGACAAAAGAAATCCATGTTGACAGAGCACTAGGAACTATAGACATTAACTAATCAGATGAGGCTTTGAAGTTCACACTGTGAACATTGATATTTGCCATGCGCTAGGAAGATAGCTTGAATTGATATTTTTTTCTATTAGTAAGTGTTTGAAAGGCTGTTAAAAGAAATTATTGCTATAGTAATCAGAGCTCTCTGTGTGACGTCCCTTCAGAGGCTTTGAGTTTCATAAAGCAAGAGATGTTCTGTATTGAAAACAGTATGGGCCTTTATCTGGGCACTGAACAACACCATGAAAGTGATCTCTGCTTTCAATCAGCCTTTGCTTCATTCACTGATGTGATTTTCATTATAAACTCTGGAAGACACTCCCAGATAGTCAAGAAATGTAGCAAGTTTTTTTGAGGAGAGTCAGGAAAACCACTATTCCGGGTGGGTGCAGAATAGTTCTCTCGAGAGTGTTTCTCACTTCTCTATCCTTTCCAGTGCTAAAAGCGCCCAGGGAACCTCTGCACGGGGAGAACAGAAGCACAGGCAACAGTGGTACCCACAGCTTCCTCCCCGCTGGCCTGTAGCACCTTAGCTGTTGCAAGCTCTTCTGCAGCATCTTGTCGTGCAGGAAGCCCATCCAGAGCTTTCCCCAGCTAATTAGCACCTTATGACCCTCCTCTGGTCAACAACAACTCTTTCCTATAGTCTAATCCACCCTAGCCTTCACCCACAAGTACTGTCTTGGGCTAGAGCCATCCATATAGGTGATGCAAGAACTCCAAGATGAGCAGGAGGGCTCTCAAGCAGCACTGAAGTGTTGCAGTTAGAGCTGCTTAAGCAGACACTGCTGTGCTGCTCTCCTCACTAGAGGGTGAGGGTCCTGTTGGAGCAGCTTTGGTGGCAGCCTTCAGACCTTCAGGTCTTCAGCCTTCAGGTTAGACGTTTCCTGGGAACTGGAATTTTCTCCGGGTACTTTACCTGTGGGTCCCAGCTCTACCAGCTCTCAGAAATGAGGCGGTCAGTGGGTCACGAGCAGCTGCTGCACCCATTTGCTGCGCGTGTCACTCACAGAGCCTGGCACCCATGGCCAGGCAGCAGCAGCCGCTGGCTCCCGTGCAGATCCGCACACCACGCGGGAAGCAGGGATACCCCTGTAACACCGGACCGAGCCTAAATGATGCTGTACTAGCCATGCATGTGAAACCCAGGTCCACCTTTCTTTTGCTGAAGAATTATGTTTATGCCATAGGGCACCTACAGGCTTCTGCAAAAGAACCTAAAAATTAGCATTTGACACTCAGTTCATATAAGACTAAAGAGAACTGATTTACACCTCCCAGTATTGCTTCCTAGGAGCCTGCTGCAGGGATGAACACATTCATGCTTGCTTCAAAAATCAAAGCCTTTTGTCTTCTCCTTGTGTTTCCCCCTCTCCTTTCTGCCTTTACATTATAATCAATACAGTCCAAGCTTAGGGAATATTACCAGAGCCCCGACTGCAGCCTCTAACAGTTCAATCCATAGGGTTGCTGGGAGCATTAGAACATGCAGGATAAATGCATGTTCTGTGGGACCCCACCTAGAAGACAGCCCCTTAGAACAGAAGGAGATAAGGTGCATGGTGGGGGAAAAGGAGAAAGGAGGCAGGATTGTGGTCTCCCTTGGAGTGCCTACAAGCTTCACTTGCAGCAGTTGTGAAAAACTGCCTGTGTGAAGGAGAAGGCAGCAGGGAAACACCAGAAAGAGTATTATAAGTCAAGAGAAGTGGTGACTGATCCTTCTATTAGCCTAAACTTCCAGGAGCTGAAGCACTGTGAGGAGTTTCACCTATGCACACTCAGATTAAGGATGCTCCTGCTCTTTTTTAACTAATATTAATGAAGTGGCCAAAAATAGTAACTGGTATGTGTGAAGTTTTCTAACATCAGCAAGCTCAGAACAGTGTCTGGATATAACATTACAATTCTGAAAAAGCAAATGAATGAATTTCCCTGGCTTTCCTCAAAACTCAGCGGGGAGGGTATCGACGTGCAGTTTCACCACCAGAAGCCAAAGCAGCGTGTCTACCATAAGGGCTGGCAGCTGTGAGGAACACCTAGCAAACAGTGGGAGGTCCTAGGCCCACCTAAGAGCTGAGCTTGGCACATGGGCAGCAGCTCTCCCTGGAGCAGCCCGTGGTGGCCTCCAGCAGCCACCTGTGAGTCCCCAGAGAGGGACGTGAAGGCACCAAGGAGCCACTCAGAGCTGCGGGGAACACACCAGGCTGGCCTCACTGCGAGCACCGATGGCTAAAGACAAGATCGTCTTCTGTATCCTGACAGAGGATACAATCCTTTTAGATTTCTAATTGGACTTGATTGAACACTCATATATGTATATATTTTCAAAATAGTAATTTAAATGAATTAGTTATACTTTCCAGCCTACTGAACAACTAAAATGATCAAATAGCACGCTAACTTCATGGCACAGCATGCCCCATCTGAACTTCTTGGGGGCTTGGAGCTCTTCGAGGAGAGCCACAAGGACTGACCTTCCGCTTAGCAGCAGGGAGCTGCTCACCCGACTGCAGGGAGCCAAGAGCTGGTGCTCACCAGCAGGTCTCATCCACCACCAACAGCCCTGCTGTGGTACCTGAGCAGGGCAGCCCGGAGAGGGCTACCACGTTCGGCCAAGATCATCAGGCAGGTTCCTGGTGCTGAGGCAGGTCCAAGGCCAGGCCCAGGTGGGATAAGGAAGGTCAGACACAGACCAGCCACCACCAGGCAGCTCCATGGTCACAGGGCAGAGCTGAAGGCAGGCCAGGAAGTCAGGCTGCAGGTCAAGGTCTATGTGAGCAGGGAGGCTATTGCCAGGCAGAAACATGGCTAGACCTGAGCTGGAGATTTATAGCATATCCCAGACAGGCAAACAGCCCAGGACTGAGTTTAAATGGAGCCCTAGGGGCCATGAGCAGGGGTAGTGGGTAGAGG